AAAGCTCAATCTTTCCTTTCTTGGAACTTACAGATGACATACAAGTCACTAGAAGTAGTAATGAAGAAAGGATTGCATCGGAATTTTATCATGGAAATATTTAAATAAAGACATAAGTCAGACTAAGAACAGCACAGTTGAGGTGGGAATGAAAAACAACTGGAAAAAATGGAAGGGTTAAGGTATATGAGATGAGAGGGTAGAAGAGAGAAATAAGGATGATCTAAGGAGGAAGATAGAAGGAATATGACAAAAAAAATGGAAAAAAGTAAGTAGAAAGAGAGCAACAAGAGAAAAGTGAGAATAAAAGCAAGAAATCAAGATCGTAGAAAGGTGGGAAAAGAGGAAGAGGAAGGAAGGAAAKATATAGTCTTTACCACAGGTAATATTGAGCCAGTGTTATTAGCCAGTTTTCCTTTAGCTGCCAGCATTGCCGTAAGCTTAGCTGCCCTTTCCTTAGCTGCCTCGGCAGCTGAGTTTGAAGAGCTACTGCCATTACTATTAGCAACAGCATCTGCTGGTACATCCCACTTGCTCTTCCTCCTAAACAACATTAAAAMATCATCAAAAACAAAGTTTCTTTTCTCCTTCAAGCAGTTGTGACACTGATACACTTAATTTGACGACATTTTTGGCGGCAAGAATGAAAATAACTTTTCAATTAAATTTTTTTTAATTGAATCATAAGTGAACTTTCAAGTAATGTATGCTAATAAAAAAGCCTTTTAAAGTTTATCTTATTGTGGTTTTAAGGTCGCTAAGTTTGATAAAAAGGTTTGATATTAACTTAGGCTTTACATTTGGATTTTATCCACATGAAAAATGGCGCTCATTTAACATTGTAAAATTGTGTGTTTAAAACTAGATTATAGTATTGAATTGTGCCATATTATAATCTAGTAAGATATCTACATTAATAAATCAAGGGGAAAGCTATTCTGAAACAAATAAGTAAAGAAAATAATGATATTTTAACCAAATCTTTACCTCGACATGCTTTTCAAGACTTCATCTCTGTGATTGCAATGAATGATGGGTGTAGTTCCCAGTCTTTTAAAAAAATATTCTACACAGGAAGCCCAAAATGATGTGAAGAACAGTCGTCTTTGTGGTTAACCTGAAGGCTGTCTCATGTGCCGCGCTGTTTCAAATCCTTTGAAATGAAAATCATTTATCACGTTATTGAATAGWTTCGTCATTGGATTTCAGAACTTTTAAATGTTAAAAGCACGCTATTAAGAATTAGAAACAATTGACAAAATAATACAGTCAACATGCATTAATATCCAACCTTACATTAAAAAACACCTGACCTTGGATTAATTTATGTGCCTTATAGGTTTTCATGCGATGAGAGTGACCACAGGTAGARTTGGTCAAGTAGTACTCAAGCYGTCTAGATATGGATACGATGGCCATGAAATAGAATTTATTTTTATTACRACATCATTTATCTTGGAGCTCAAGGTAAACCTAGGGGAAAAGGGAGGGAACGTCTCCAGAGCAAAGTATATCTKTTTAAATTTTCTTATTTTTAAAAGCTTTTCTAAAAGGGCGTGGTCAKTCAATATGACATTAAGACAGGAAGAGACTAAGCAKTGGCGTCAATATTKCCCATGAAACAATTATAATGTTCCTTTCATACTCAAATGAAAAACACCAAAATCAATTTCCTAAAAAAATCCAGGGTAACATGTCAACTTTTATGGGTAAAATAAATCTACTCGGCTAAGTTCACTTTTTTCGCAACCTGATATTTATTCATATAGAAACAATTAACTAAGGAAACAATTGATAAAATAACTGATAATGAAATAAGGCAAAGACTCAGTAGTCAAAACATCCTCATCCCATAGTCCTCTACGGTCTCAGTGACACCGGCACAAATTGCTTTTCCTAAACCCTTAAGGCCATCCGTACTATACAATTTTCATTTATACTACGAAAACGCAGAATAAAGACGCTTAGTGAATCAAAGTACCTTCAGTTAGTGTCTGTTTCTACAATAGCGTGATATGAGACAYCCTCAGGAAAGGAAATACCACACAAAGGCTAGCGAAAAATAACTAGCTTTTGATACTTTACACTCATTTAGGCTTAGTGAGGTTTAATACGCAAAGCGCCGGCCGTCTACGGTATAAAAAAGGCATTTCATATTTAATCAAGGGAAGATTATGAAAAGACAACACATTAACATCGACATTTGGTCTTTCAGGGCACTTGCAAATAGCTATGAAGACTAAATGTTAAAGTAAAAGCAGTACTTGATTCTGAYYGACTATACGCGGTGAGTATAAATCCTCTCATCAATGATCGACATAATGCGTTGTTTTGGGTTGTTTTGTTCAATATAATCAATTTTGATTGATGTATTTGCGAAGAGTTTTTAGAACATCAATCACTTGCTACATAAGATATTAAAATAATTACACTTGAACCAGCTAGCTGTCGTGAATGTTTTATTTCAGAAATGACACACAAGGTAAATAGATATTGAAATGAAACTCAGGCTGCTTATGACGAAGGTAGAAGAAAATCCCATGACAGCACGCATGCGCAAATCACACCGCACTAAGATTGATAGCGTCGTTGTCTACATTTCCAGTTTAAATTCTTAAAGCACATTCAATGATCCGCAGCAATCCCCTTTTCTTTAAATAGCTTAACTTAATTGCTTTGGAAGTAACAATCACTAAACATGCATAGATTTCTGCCCACCGCAAATTGAAAAGTGGGTAATTTAATGTTTTTTCATAGATATTTGATTGCACTTTTGGTCATCAATCGAGTACGATTCTTATTCGAAACAGTTCGCACGATAAAACACAATAAATCGACATAAAAACGGATTGGTTTTGGACAGCCGACATGTTATCGGCGAAAAATTGTAGCTTATCAAATTGAATGACCATCATTGACGGGGGCGTTAGCTATGGTAGAAGAGCTGATTAATAAATAATTGGGCACAAAACTACAACGTTCTATGCATTTAAAGTGAATGCTTTATAAAAATGCATTGTAAAATTTGACTGTAAGCTCGCCAATAGCAAATCTCTTACTTATTAAACGAAAAAAGATTGACGTTAATCCGTTTTCAAAAAGTTCAACTAAATTCATGTGCCTTAGTGCTCTTAAATCTTCACGGGTCGCTCATTTTAAAGACAATTCCAATTGTATTAGGTCGGGTCGTTAGGTATCACTTTATTGGATATAAGTGGTATATTAATCTTGCCAGAATGAAATGCAAATTTGAATGAATACCTGTTAAACATTCGTATGTAAAATGCTATATTATAGTGATATGATTACAACTAAAGCCAGTAATTAAACCTAAACATATCGGAAAGGAATTGCTTTTCCACAGAATATAAACTGATTTAAATGATAGGCACTTCTTCAAGAAGGTATAGTATACAAAAACAAAATTTACCCTTAACATATCTCAGTACATAGTGATAAACTTCTCAAGTCTGTCGATCAATGGCAAGATTGCAATCTTTATTCTATATATATGTATCTTCAATACATATTACAAAAGTGCAGCCATCCGTTGTTAAAGAAAACTAGAAATGACACATTTGAAATAATTCGACTGCTAAAAGGCCATACATTGAGACCATATCTGTTTTTAAATGCAATAAAATTTGTTTAGCTACGTTTGCACCTGCTTCACTAGGCTAGCAATTTAGAGAGGCCTTTTTACTTAACAAATAACCAAAAAAAATTGTTAAGATCCGCATGATTTACGGATCACGTAATTGCGATCTTTCCACTTATAGAGAAGGGAATTTGATAAGAAAATTTACTGCCCTGGGTTACGCATACTTAAGGGAGAATAGCCCAGTTAGGCATGAGTTCCTTCAATGACGCACAGAAAGTATCGCACGAGTTATGCTCTCCAGATGAAGGTAAGAGTTAAAAGGACAAATTTAAACTGAAAAGGTGGGAAAAAAACAGTTGGTAGTTACAGCAAACAACATTTTAGCTAAATATCCAATATATWTTTTGGTTACTATAACAGTGTTTAATTATAAATGATATTTCAAGTTTTGAATAGGAATTTAATGACGGTGGCTCAGGCATTGGTTTACAAAGRGGTTTTACCTTCTTTTTCAGTTTTAATAGAATCATTCAAAATCAGTCAACAGCTGAATCAGTAATGACGCGCACTGTCAAGACCAAAAGTAATGCGTTTTCGTAGCATTTTTTACGTCCGCATCGTCAAGACAACAACACAAGAACATACATATTTTACATGTATTCAAGGCCRTTAGGACACAAAATATTACACTGCACTAAGCTGAACAAACTGCAAACAAACAAAGAAGAATAAACATGAAGGCAAACAAATTAAATGTTATAATTTGAAGCCTCATGTTGGACTTTCCTTGATTGCTGATATCGCAGTTATAGATTTTTAATTTTTATTTGGATATAAATAACCCAAGTAATTAAACACAGGTATCCCACCCTTTGATTGCGTGGCGGCGTTACATGATCAAGAGACCTCTAATTTCTATTTGACGGTTTGGTATAACAGCGAAGGTACTGAGTTTTCTCGGCGCTAAAGATTTTGCTTACGACCTGAGTCCACTTATAGACAAAACAAGCAAACTTATCAATACTAGAAGCGTAGAAATTACTCAGGAATTACTTTTTTTGCACAGTGGTTGGCGTACGGCCTTAACATGAGGTAGGCATAATTGCCGTCCTTAATTATATTGATTGTCTGAGAGCTGCCTACTATCATAGCACTTCCTCAATCGAGATGTTTTCTTCCTCATATTTTTATTTTCACGGCATCGTTCATTGATTTTCTTTTTTTCAATTAATCGAACGCCTTTGTTTGTTCAGTCTGTTTAGCTTTCACTTCTCATCGATAGTATTAAATCGATAATCTTTAGAAATCCTTTTAACCATAATATCCTGAGCCAAGAAAGCATTTATAGTAATTGAGGAGTTTTATTTTCTGKCCTTAATTTCCTGTCAGGGATCAAACAGAATCGTCATTTTAATATATGTTCTATCAATGAACAGCTGGTTGTTGTACGTCCATAGCTAGTATTAGTTCATAGTATTTTTATTATCATGCTATTTAGAGAGGTTTCCTGCCAAGCGAGGGATGTTATCATGACATGATGTCAGATTGAAAATTTCACAGTGAGCTGTTTAAATCTAAACTTGATGTATCCTCACATTCATTTGTACCGGTCCATATAATAATGGCAGTGCCTGTCCAGCAGTTTGAATTGAATTGAATGCCCAATTGAATTTTTTGGGCACACATACTTAAGAGCTTGAAAATCATACTTTTATTAAA